AAAATGCATAGGGGGACAAAAAGGACAGGTAAGGACAGCCCTGAACTTCAAATGCAGTTGAGTTCGGGCAGGGTTTTTTGTTTGTTTGTTTGTTTGCTATGCAGGCTGTTTTCCTGAATTGACTATAGTGGCAAAGAATTAAATATGCACTTAGGAACTTTTTAAGCATTCATCCTGCTTTCCTTTGCCAAACACCTGTAAGCTCTGCCAAGGGTATAAGCACTGAGGGATACCTGGCTGCTGCAGCAGTCTCATGGCAAATGGACTGACCGCCCGCAGTGGCTGTCAGCAGATTCCCCCTTTGTCAGAAGGACTTTTAATTGCCAGTGTGAATGGGGCAAACCTGTAGGATATTACTACAGGAATCAGAGTGCCTATGTAGTTGAATGTGGTAGCTCTCACCTTCTGCAATTTCAGGTACCATCAACATGAGCATTTAAGTTATCTTTAGCATTCATTGAGGTGGGTGTTTAGTGGCTGTTCACTCTCCTAGTGTCAGCTCAGGGTCATTTCCTTCATATACACAGACCCTTGGAGGGTACCTTCTTGTTTCACTTTCTTTTCTCCCAAAGTCTGTTTAAGACATGGCCTGAGGAAGATTTAGGGTTAAGCTCCAGCTGAAGAAAAAGAAAAGAAAAACAACACTCCCCAAGTCCTACCTAACAATTTTTAAAAGATGTATATAAGCCTTCATTCTCCCCTCCAATTAAACACTTTCAGGTAAATCAGGGTTTTTTGTATATATATATGTATGTATATATATGTATATATATATAAAGAACAAGATACCCAGAGGCACTGGCTTGCATTAGGGCCTAATTTCCAGCTAAATTAAAATTCAAACCCAGGCATTTTGAATGCCCAGGGGGCACGAAAGCAGCACCCAAAATCATTAACTTTTGCACCTTGTATAATATATCCCAGTCAAGATTTGTTTTTCAAAATTTCGTAGTAAAATAAAAGTGCTCTTTGAGGAAAATCTATGCAATTAAACAGCAGATGCTTAACCCCTGAAAAATAGAGGCTTATAAGAGAAGTGCTGATGGACCTTTAACCATAGCGTCATTAGCAGCAGGTGCTGCTAGACTTAGAAGTTTTCTAAATAGTTTTAATGTAAACAGTATTCTTAAGCTCTAAGTGTAGCATAATGGTTGGGATTTGCTCTTTAATTCTTTTTACTAGAAAGATACAGCTCATTTAAAATAGCTGGTAGATACAGAAAGCATAAATATACAGTAAGTTTAGACACTGATTGTACTAAATGCAACAATACAAAGAAGCAAACAGGAACACAAATGGTAACACAATAAAACTGTATTACATTTGTGCTTCAAATATTACAATACATTATATACAGTAGTCCAAAATAAACATCTCATGCCAAATGACACAAAAAGAAACAAAAAAAAACCAAACAAACCAAAAACCCCAATAGCAAGCAAAAAAGAATCCAGCGGTATGTACAGTACCTTTGTAATTAACATTCAACTCTGAACTGGAGCAATTTTCACTACATACAGATGCAGTCCGCCTTTTATTTCACGCAACCATCCTGTCTCCCTATATCTATGCTATTCAGTAGGTTCCTGTGTCATTTCTTATATACATGTTGAGCAAAAAAGATAAAAGAACATAGTGCTTTGTATTCTTAATGATGTGGCATCGGATCAGCGAACCTGGGGCGCATAACCTTCTTTCATTAAACCCTCCTCATAGTCTGTCTGGCACAGGATCATGTTGTTCTTCAGGAAAAATTTGTCTCCAACGCAAAATCTGAAATTATAAAAATAAGGGGAAAAAAAAAGGAGTTTTTAGAGTGCAATGCGGTATGATCTTACACTTAAGAACTGTAGCACAAGTATATTCACAATTTTGTTGTAGCAGCCACACAGCTCACACCTCTGCAGTCTGTTGCAGCACAATACACGCGGAGCAGAGGAGCTGCTCCCGTCTCAGAATTAATTCCCTGCTTTCAGTAAAATCCAGTGCACGCAACTGCTTTTGCTCTACAAGCCAAAGACTTCATTCAGAGCCCACTGATGACTGTGGGAGTCTTGGATCAGGTCACTAGCACAGAGATAAAACAGAATAAATATCCAAGCCTACTGAGCGGAGCAAAAAGTAAATTTAGTGCTTTCACACAAATCAGAAGGAAAACAAAGTAGAATGCTCGTCAGAGATACATGATGTTTATGGTGCACAAACACATTTATAAGATCATCATGCCATATTCCAGCTGAATATTTTACAAGGACCGATTTAATCCAGTGGTTCTGAGAATCAAAATATTTTTATCTACTATACACACAACTTTACATATACGGCAGTGCATGTCTAGAGACACACAGGCAGGCGTGCAGAGAAAACAGTTTTTTCCTGGAGGAACAGGTTACAAATTTAGTTACTTAGCTAAGTACTTTCTCTCCGATGATATCAGTACACATACCTTGTTCTCCTATTATGTGCTGCAGAACGATCTGATTGCTGCAAAACGCTACCGAGCTATTTCACTTGATTTTCTCTGATGCGTTAGGAAAACCATCTGAAGTAGTTTTCACTCCTGACTGTCTGGCTGCAAACTTAAGCAGCATATCCCCGCTATTGCAGCGTGCATGCGTACACATAAACAGCCTCATGCCGGACACTTCCTCCCCCCAGCTTTTCCTTTGGACAAATCCAAGGATCTTTAAGGCATTTGGGAGAAAAAGGGAATAGGGCCCGAGACAAACAGCTTCCCTAGTGATTGCTTTGGCAGGGTTACATTTCTTTGTTTACAGTGAACTCTCCAGCTATAAAATGTACTGGGAGGCACTGCTCACATTATTCCAATTAAAACGAAAGAAAGTAACCTAAATGAACCCCCTAACACTGATGTGAATAAATGAAACCAGTTTCTACCAGCTAATTATGGCTCTCACTGCACAAAGCATTGTTTAATGTGTAACGGATTATAATGTCCTGGGTTTTTTTTGTATAATTTCCAAATGGTGACATCTTGGCCACGATTAGGGTCAGATATAAATGCTTGTGGTGTTTACGGTAGATTTAACAACAGGGCAGCTATGGGAATAGCTGTATATGTATTTAATTGTAACAATTTAACCTTCAAATAGCAGCGTCTGCTGCAGTTGACCCAGTAAAGCTACGCAAATTGCACAAGCTGACCCGGGCGACCTCTGATAGTGGTCCCTCTTTATCAGATAGTCAATTCCTAATGATGCTCAAGCAGAAATCTTGGCGAATTGTCACAGATGAAATTGTGTATTGAAAGCAGTCCTTTAATGTTTTGTGAAGTTGGAGATTTAAATGAGTAGCAGTTGGACTGATTTACATTTGTGAAGATTGGAATGCTAGACAAACAGCGAGCCCATTTATTTTCCAACTGGGTAGCTTTGGAAATTTATCCTTATGCTAGCTAAATAGATAGAGGGAAAATAGTGTAATAAAAAAGTGGATTGAAAAGAATTAGCTTTGCTCTTAAAGGAAAATTGGTTTGTTTATTTGTGGACTTTTTCTTTTATTTTTTTCTGCAGGATTAATGCCTGCTGCTGATGATGATTGAAAATAGAGATTATGGAATGATCCTGAAATCTTTAAGTTATTTCTGGTCAAGACTGCTTTATAGGATTTGCAGGTTCCTCCTCCCACTCCTGCCCCAGTCCTGGCATATTAGGCTGCTAATGACCCAAAAGCACGCTACGTAAATGTGTTGAAATGAGGAATTCTTGAAAAAACAAGTTATTCGGGGCTTTCTCTAGCTCCCCTCTTTTGCATCTCCACTCATCAACTGCAATACTGACTGAAATAGGTGTGTTTTTGCCAGATTAGGTACAGGAGTCTTAGCTAGTGCTAGTACACGAAAGTGCTTTTCCTGAAAATAAAAATCTTTCTTAGTTTCTACTAAATGAATACACTGATTGATAGGGGCTGAATCGAGAGGAATTAGCCACTGTCACAGGTCAGTCTCTCCGTTAGAGCTACGGAGGGGCACTGAACCTGTGACACGCGGCCAGCAGTGCCGCCGCGTGTGACGGTGGCTGCACAGCGAGCTGCCTGTCCCTGTGGTCGGGAAGGAGCAGCTCGCCCAGCAAAAAGCACAAACTCAGAACTCTGAATGCTACTTGCTACATATTCCTTTATGACCCAAGGTGGTATAGAACTTAGCATGATAATTTCTATAAATTGCAAAGGCAAAACGCAGTGGTAAAGTGCAATGCAAAGCCCTGGTTGAAGGGTTTTGTTCCGCAGGCGTCAGAGGAGTGCCGCGGTTTGAGTTAAACCACAGCACCTGCAGCAGGGAGTCGGGATGCCCTTTCCAGTAGAAACTGCCAACGTGTTTTGCTTTGGCTATGTTAATATGTCACGCCAGAAATGCTCTACCTATGTCTATGTGACGTTTGACAGCTCTATGCACGAGCGGCTGTAAACACGCACAGTCCCACACATCATTTACCTTCCGACCGTCGAGCCGTCTGGTGGTGGTACAGGCTGCCGGCGGCAGGGGCGAGCCCCCCGCCGGTCTCGTCCGCGGCTACGGCTGCACGTCGGGGAGGGGGCTGATCATCTGTGTCTTGGGGGAAACCTGTTACTTGCGTGCCGCTTGCGGCCCAAATTCTGTTTCCACATTGCGGAAAAGTGGCAAAGGCTGGAGGCGAGGCTCGAGCGTGCCCCTGAGTATTGAACGTGTGAATTATGCGGTCATTAGGTGACAAAGTAGCAAGCACCGGGTGACAAAAGACGCTAAACGCGGCACACTGGCTACCCGGCACCATGGGAGAGGGCAGCCGGATGGACGAAGCGCGACAAACTCTGCCTATGATACGGTGCCATGGACTTGGCCCTTTCTACGGTCAAAATGTTAAAATCTGCAACTTCTTCAGTTTGGTTTTGCACACTTGAAAATCGGCTGAACCTGAAGCAGATTCAACAGAAATTCAAGGTTCACCTCCCAAGCCCTGCAAGGGTGTTTTCCAGGGGATTTACACAGGGCGTAAATCAGGACACAACTGGGCACTTATATCAAACGGAATCAAGGAGGACAGTGAGATGAATATTGATCTTTGGTGAAAAGGCAAAGCTTTCCCACATTCAAATGGCAGTTGGGTTAGGGGCAAGAGTTGGTAATGAGGCAAGACTATTACTTTTCTAGCAGACAGATGGTAGTCTTCAGCCTTTTCTTCCCTAAAACCTGCACCCAGTTTAATTTATTTAATAGGCATGCAAAATGAGCAGGAAAAAAATATACAATAGGCTGCATTAACATGCCAGATTGGACTTACTACCATAAAGTCATAGTACTATTTTTGACATGACTATGACATTAGTAGAATGGCCGTTATAATTAACCTATATCCCAGAACTCCTGTCATGTTTTAAAATGGCAAAAGGAAGGCCATTTATATACAAAATGACCTCTGTTATCATCTTGTTTGGAAGGGGAAGGTGTGCCTAGCCTAATCACGTGTAATATAAAACTTCCATTTTAAGAAATAGCTACTTTTTTTTCGTTCAGTGCAGAGATTTAAGGAGATCTTTCTGCTGTCTGTCACTTCTGACATACGGGACGCATGTTGAAGTACTGAAGACTTCCTTAGAAACTGAGAGAAATACTGCTGTGAACAAAGATTGCTGTGTGTGAAGTGCCTCCTTTGGTAATGTCAGAGCTTTGTTGTTACAGAAAGGCACAAACAAAATATGGATGCACTTAATTGATCTCTTTTAGTATAAAGAAAGCACAGACTTACCCCATCCCCACCCTTCCTCTCCATCATGTATGTAACTTGTTCTCTGCTTTTCTCCCTTTCCTCTCCTTTTTTTTTCCTTTTTTTTTCAGTTGAGTTTCCAGTCTAACTCAAATTATGCTAATCTACATGCATTACTGAGAGAACAAAGCCACTCTTTTACTTCACAGTTCATCTGTCCACACCTGTATTTTACTAATTTCAGGGTTCTGCCAAAAGGTCCATTTATTATAAAAGGCTGGAAAGTCTAAGCTGTGACTAGACTTCTACATTTTCATCAGTAAGATTAATTAAATATACAGAATCCTAGGTAAATGGTAAGCCAGCTCAGCTTAAGATGAAAATCTCAACTTGGTGAGCTTTTCAATTATCATTTTTACAAAAGCCGATATGGAAAATATATTTATTTTTTATTCGAAATTTAGAGGTGATCAGTGAAAGTAAAAGTCTTAAAAAATATAAAAGGAACATAGACACAAACATCTAACGCTAGTGTTTGAAATCAGCATGTCCCTCACATTGCATTCCACCGAATCCCCTGCTTGATTGATAGTGAACAAAGCCGGCAGTGTGCGGGCGCGCTGCAGTTTGCATAAGACGTAAGTGTTTGTCGCTACATGAGGACAGTGATTTGAATGACCGTGTAACAGCTCTCAATCTAGTGCCCAGTCAAATACAGCCTGTTGCCAAGACAGAAACGGAGGCCAGAAGAATTGATTTAAACACCCCTCAGTGACAGCAGATGGGGGTTTTAAACCACACCTCAAGTTGACTTCAGGATATAGACAGGAATTATGGCAGAAGTATGGAACAAGCTGCTAAAATAGCCGACAGAGAGCGAAAGGAAGGACACAGAAACTTGGGAAAGTGGGAAAGCCGAAGGCAGACTGAGATCATCACTGTAGTCAAAAGTGTCAAGCAAAGATGCAGCTGAGCCTACTTACAAGATTTTCCACTCCATTTTGCTAGTCACACACATGCAACCTGACAAAGTGTGAAAGGCAATGTCTGTTTACAAGTTTATCTTTCCAGTGGTTTCCAATTTTTCCTTTAAATTTTCTATGGAAGTCAAGCTACATTGAGGGAACTGCCAAAGTGAGGTGAAGTGCTTCTGAGAAGTTTAATAGTGAGCGGAAAGGGGAGCATTCAGACCATTAAGATGACTGCCACTAAGCTCTGCGGGCATTCAGGAGATGGAAAAACTCTTCAAATTAAGGGGAAACTGTGCAGCGACATGAAAGGTAAGGAGAAGCTCAAATCTTTAAACTAGGAGTAGAGCTTAATATTCACAAAATCCCCACAGTTTTACACACTGGTAGCAAGAACAAAAGGAAAGTATATGGCAAAAACTGTCTGCATGGAGCAGTAGTTAGATTCTAGAGCTGAATAGCTTTATAAAGAGAAAATAGGACACAGTGCTCATTTGACACCCGGGGACTAGACCGAGCGGCTCAAGAGATCCCTTCCAGACCTCTCTTTCTAGCATACAACATGAAAGACAAGAGAGGCAACCACGTTTTCTTCTAACTTTGAAAATCTATCCTTCTGGTGGTCAATAAAAAGGGATAGGTGCATTAAATGTTAGTTCAAAGAGGGACTTTACGGCCTGAACAAAAGTCCCCTGAATTCAAGGTGGTCTAACTACCATCCACACAGAATCTTGATGCAGGTGTTGAGCAGTACCTACTCAAAAACAATAAAGCAAAGAGCAATTGTGCATAAAAGCAGAAAAATCATTAATTGTTTCATGAAAAGCACAGGCAATGGACAGGCTCCTCTCTCAACAGGCCCGGATCAACTGTTTAAAGGGCAAAAATATGAGGGTCATATGACAGTAAGCATAAAGATCTGGCTGCCCCAAGGATCCATGGGATGTGAGTTAACGTAATTATTGGCAAGCTGGGAAGGCAGCAGGCACCAGAAGCAGTTCCAAACAAGCAGGCACAGAGTGGCAGGCAGGAGAAATCCACTGTTGGACAGTGCAAAGTAATGCAAACTGAAGAAACAATTTAGCATCCTCGTAAATGCTGCATATCTCCCGTTAGGAAAAATCTAAACAGTAGACAACTATTGTATGCTTTACCAACGCAACCCAAATATGTTGCACTTGTCCCAGTGGAAAGAATGCCACAAAGAATTTAAAATTTAATTGGGGAAAAGAGAGTGAGGAGCCTAAACTGAAGGCTAAGGAATGACACGGCTAAAAATTATTAAATATTCCTGGAATGCTGCACTTTAGAAGCACCTAACAGATTTTTTCTGGTGGGAGTCAGCGGCCTCAGGGCAAAATACAATATATATTAGCTGCAAAGTGAAACTGTAAATTAGTTCACACTTGTCATGGCAAAAAAGGAATATTAAAAATGATCGCAACAGCTTAGTTATTTGGGGAAGAGAAAAAAAAGTTCATTTCCTCAAATCCAAGAGCACTAACTATGATGAAAATCTTTTGTACTAAGGGTAACAAACATTGTCTGCTTTGCTTGACTGATGAAGATTAGCTGACTTCTTACATTAAAGAAGTTTGTCTTGTATGGGCTGAAGTGACAAGACAATAACTAAGTGCTAATTGTGCATAACCAACACTAAAGATATGCAGCCCCATTATGCCATGTAATAAATGAAGTGAACAACAGAAATATATTAGGCGCTTTAATAATGAGACTAGAAGAGTGGTTTGCAGAAATAGGGATGTGAAGGGTTTAAGAAACAAGATCTTGGAGTGTGTGTGGTTCTTACTTGAGTGGTCTCTCCTAGGCGGCTCTGCCTGCCGTACTCGGCGTAGGGCTTTTGAGCTCCGTCACTAGACAAAATTGGTATAGGACCTTAAATAACATTAGAACCTATAATTACTTTGCATCATCACATACTTTAAGCAGTGGTTATTACTTGCCTGGTATTTTAATTTCCCATGCAACATAATGAAAAAGGTCAGTTTGGCTTTTTTTTTTTTAAAGAGTGTAATTGTAGTGTGCTATACTTATTAGCAGCTGTACATTTTACGGTTCTTTAGGGATGTTTGATTTTTAAACGACTGCAGTGCTACAAAATAATATGCTATAGGACAATGTGAGTTAGCAAAGCTTATTTGGAGCTCCATCTAACTTCAATGTGGTAGACTATTAGCTTACAAAGTTTTTGTTACTTCCCTAGAAATGTACATCTCATCACGGGTTTCTTCCCACCCGAAAATGAAAAAAAAAAAAAAAAAGAACTCTATGAACTCTATAAAACTCTATAAAATGTAATAATTGAGGTTAATAAAAGGTACATTAAGGAGTGGAAATAGTTGGTTCTTTCATTTCCTACCTCGCAGAAGTCAAAGGCAAAGCTGCCAGTGGCTCTCACAGATTGTATTCTAAAAATGGAAATGGAGCTTTCAGTGAAAACTCTGACAGGATTTGGCCAGGCACTCTCAAAATGTGGTTACTGCATGTTAGGCTGTTTTTGCCTCTCAAAAAATTAAGTTGTTACAATTTTATTTTTGGCCTTTGTTCTACAGCTGTAGAACATACATATGGGCGACTCTTCACAACAAAATGTCAGGTTTGGCCCCTTGGAATGTTTATAACCTGCAGTTAGAATTTGGGGAAAAATAAATAGGGCACACGAAGGCCAGTGCTGCTACAGACAGCATGGTGGGAAGGAACATCTTTTAAATTTAAGTGATTACAACTGTCAACAGCAAGAAACAACATGTATTTTAGTATAAATTTATGGATAAAACCAAAGAATTTAAATAAAACTAATGTAATAGTGACAAATGGTATGTACGGCTGTGCTCTTCTGCAGCAAAGGATCTCAGAGTACTTTATAAATATTAATTAATTAAACTTGACAGACAGCCTTGTGAAGGACAGAAAGTAACATTATTCTTTTTTATTGATGAGGGATTTGAGGCACAAAAAGTTTTAAGTGTTTTGGCCAAGGTCATAAAGGATGTTCTGTCTCAGTCCCAGGAAAGGGATCCAGGTCTCAGTCTCAGGCTTCCTCTGCTAGGTAACTCTTTCCTCCTCTGTTCCTCTTTCCGTACTTAAATGTGTGCACACACCAGTGCCAAATGAGCACTTAGCTTACGAACCAAGCCCAAGAAATTGCCTTACCTCTGATTACAAAGTTGACATGCAAAACAGTCCAGGTGATAAACATTGTCCTTAGCTCTCATCACCATCTCAAATGCAGGTATGAGCTTACTGCAGGCAGCACAGTTTCCTGTGACTCCAAATAAC